GCAAATAGGAGTATACTTTATTTAATTACAGTTTCTATGAAAAAAATGGAACTTAGGAATTTAGGGTCTTCTCATTGCTATTACTTTTACTCCACCAGATGGAACCACTGCATTTTTAAATATTAACCGAAACATCGCCATCCTACAAGTTGGTTCTATAGAGAGCTCAAGTGCTTTTGAAACGGTTTGCTTCCTGTCTGTTCTCTAAATATCCCATCAACAGTATATACTCTTGACAGTCACATGTGATGAAAAGCTCAGTTCTATTCGTCTCCGAGGGACGATTTGAAATGAATTTTGAGCGTTGCTAGGTAAAATATACGTATCGTCTTTCAGACGAAATCGTGTTACGGAGATGTATGGGTACAAGGGAGTGGTTTCGTCAGCGATCCTTCTCTTTGCTCTCCATCCTGTCAGCAGTAACAGTCCTCCTTCCGCGGATTGGGCTCCATCGCAGCATGTGAGATCCCAGTTTCTCTCTTCCCTCTGTCACATCATATAGCAGCGTGTCTTTCCCTATATAGTTGCAACTCCCGACAAAAATACAAATTGAATGTTTCTTACTGCTACGTACCGAAATGCCTAGTATCTCAGAAGCGCGCCGCAGTGATTACGGCAGCGTCGGTGCTGGCTCTAGTCCACCAGGAGATGGAGAAACCTGAATTTTTTGCTTCATTTTTTTATCCACTGAGTGACGCAGTCTTTTCGTGCAAATAGTAAGCACAGCGGTGGAAATTGTACACATTGCAAATACAGCCAAATAGTAAAACACTGCATACGTGAAACTACGGTTTCCAATTACTCTTTAGCTCCTTTCTCCTTCCTTAAGTATTCACAGGGAAGCATCCCACCATTCGAACTCGCTTGTCGCTGCCAACAGGAGAGAGATACCGATAACAAAAGTGAGTTCAGCTTCTCCGTCCCAGAGAGTTTTTGACATGTTTGCTTTCCATATATTTCTTCCCAACCTTTTTCACGTGCGACTCCAAAATTCATTCCATACGATCATACCATTCAGGACCCCAAGCACTTGCCGTAGTTCGATAGGCTCCCCCGCCTATGCACTAAAATCGCCAAGAAAAACATAACTTAGTATTTAGTTGCCGGTTCGCAACCCCAAATATGACCTTGAAGACCCCCAAATGGGGTTGCGACACCTGGGTTGAGAAACCCTGTTCTAGAGGCATCCCGGCGAGTCGGCACTGTAGATATATGAATATGTATATATTGAATATTTATACTAGCGAGTTTGTTTGCCCTTATGGCAAATAAACTCGCTGTGGTCGCGCCTTCGGCGCTTCGTTATGTAGGATAGTCATTTAATGATTGATTCATTTTCGAAGTTGCAGAAGCTTACCAAGATTTTTTATTGGGATCATTAATCCGATTATTTATTGTGTGCCTAACGTCAAACATCTTTATGTGCCCCTTTTTGTCTGAGCGGAAAATAAATATTGAAATACTTCCCTAAAATAATCCGCCCTGAGGGGCATATTTCCAAAGTAGGATTTTTTTTATGTACTCAGCTATTCATCAGGTCCTTCTATACCAAGTTGCGACTTTCTATCGCTCTCTGGTTCGTAGGATCAAATAAGAATCGGAAAAATGCGCCTCCCGAAAAAAAAGTGCCCTGAGGGGTTCTACCTAAAAAGTGCAATTGAAATCAGTACCTGGAGAACCTCATGCTCACCAAGTTTCGACCTTATACGTTCGCCCTTTTCACTGGTGCAAAAATATACTTGGAAAATTCGACCCACTCAAAAGTTATGCCCTGAGGGTATGCACCACAAAAGATGAAGTTTCATTGAACTCAAGATCACGTCAGTTATGCGTTTGCTAATTTTCACCTCTCTATGTCTGTCCAATTCGCTAGGACAAAAAAAAATTATTTGAAAACGTCACCCCCAAAAATATACTCCCAGGGCATTCATCTGATACTTGACATTTTTTCCTGAACTGAGTGTCTACGTAGACACGTCCATGCCAGGTTTCAGCTTTCCATGCCTCTCCGTTTGACTGAAGAAAATATAAATATTTGAAAACATATTCCCCAAAATGGGTGCCCCCAGGGTACCTCCAAATTCTGATTTTTTCTGAACATTGCATCCCAATAGGTACTTGTGTACCAAGTTCCACATTTCTACCTTATCTAGAACATGGTTAGAATTAGCGTTCTAATAGCTTAATTGTTGAATTAGATTCAACAATACCCGATCAAATTTTATATCAAGGGATTCTCTGATCCAGGTCAACATGATGCAGCTAGAGACAAGGTGAGAGTGGGTCGACACGTTCATACAAGAGAAGGAAGGGATATTGGTGAGGCTTTCTGCACTTTTTCCTCATGGACAGGACGAATACATGTGTACCAGTTGAAGGTAATTGGGTTGTACTAGTACGTTAATAATAAATATAAAAAAACCTGCACATATTAGAATATTTTATAACGTAAATTTTTGGTGGGTCATGCGCATGTAATGGATTCCTAGCTATGACTTGCATTACTTATCCTTTGCCGCTGCATGACAAATGGGCATTTTATTCCTTTAATAGGCAGATGCAGGCAGGGATTACCTGCTTTGGATGCAATGTGGGAAATCTAATACCATCAGTGATGTGCTGGCTCCTCTAAAACATTTGATTCTCGTCGTGATTATATATGATAAAATACAATGGACGTTGTTGCTGTTTTTCCTCAATATGTGTCACAAAGCTCACTTAGCGATGTCTCTGTGGACAAAGTAATGAAAGTACTAGGTGCCGAGGAAGTACTAGCCTCAAATGAAGGGATTAACAAGGTGTAGATAAACAAAATTTTCGTTCATGTATTTATTTTTGAAATGATCAAACTATACCAGAATCAGGCGGTAGAAATGTAAAAAAACAGCCGGGCAGCCTTTCTCAAGAAAGGATCTAACTGGTCTGGGAGACGTATCCAGTTAGCTGTCAACCTCACCCATCGATCGAAATGGATTGGAACGGAATACCGATTCATGGGATTATAATGGGTTGAGAGAAATGTATCAGGTGAAATTGATACGAAGAAATAGATGTTAGAAAATAAATCATAATGAAATGCTATCCAGTATCACTGACCTCTTACCAGTTTCGAAAATTCAATGGATAAATGCGTGTTACATACCTGTTACCTGTCTAAGATTGAAAAACTGCAATACAGGGTGGGACAGAATCTCCCCCCCCCCCTTTAACTCAGAGCATTTTAGCTATTAACTTATGTTGGGTAAGATCAGAAAGCCTGATTCAATTGAAACCGTTTCTGTTAAGTATATCAAAATGGTTGGTACTCTCGACTGCGAAAAACAGAGAGTGATTGATATAATTAAATGTGTCGCATTTCGCGAGGCTCGAGCTGCCCCTCAAATCCTCTAGAGAAACCTTGCCCAAGTGCTCCAAGGCATGGAGAACTGAACAGATTTGTTTCAAGAGCTACTTGAATTCTATCCCGTCGCCCGTAGGCTATTCGTTTTTGCAGGTGGTGCTCACGTAGATTATTGAGTTGGTCAAATTAGTTTCATTTTTATTCAGGAATACTATGTTCTATTGGTTTTTCCTGAGCCTCTTTCATGTTGCAGTACAGGAGGGGGGTAGGGGGGGGGGGGAAAGAAGGTTTTGTCCTACCCCGTAGTTGAGACTTGACTAGAAATATATTTGCGTGATATGTAAATAGAAGAATTGAATGAGTAGGCTTGCTGGCAGAACGAGTGTGAAATACCCGAGAACTCGGTAGTTGCACCTTGTGGCACACGGACCAAAAGCTGGTGGCGAACTACTCTAGTATTAAATAATAATAATAAAAAATACGGTTGCATTTGGACTGCAGCAGGGACATGCAAAATAAAACGTAAGGTCAGTAATCCCTCGATTTCGCGACGCACATTCCTTTTGAAGCAGTATGTCGTTATTATAACGTTGATCTATTCTGGATTTTGTCTGAGAACCTGGTCTGTGGATCCTTTAGGCGAAGGGGCATCGGGGCACGATGAGCACAAGCATCATCACGATGAAGCTCGCATGTACTACGTTATCACCGTCTTCTTCGCCATTCTTTGCATCATTCTCATCGCATGGACTTTATACCATATTTGTGGCGACGTTTACGCTGCTGGTCGGAAATAAAAAGGGCTCATTGATTTTGCCGAATACGCCTTGTTGATGCGCATATGGACAGGATTTAGGATTTCTTCATGGATTTCAATATCAATGCAGGAATAATTTTGGAAACAAACGTCAAAGTACGTTTATTTTATGGACACCGTGTCTATGATAGAGCAAACCTGTCTCATCACGGTGTAATTGCTATTTAATTACCAGGGATTTCCGAAATGGTCTCCAACCATTCTAGGGCAGGGTTGTAATCACTCCATGTAGCGCCCTCGGGGAGGGAGTCATGAACGACCTTTTCCCTTATTGTGTCTGTTCCCCAGTTACTTGAACCAGTATATGCGTATAAACGTCAAAGATCTCAATGATGTGGTCAAAATCCACTTTCTCCTTCTTTCGCTACTTGATATTTAATGGAGATACTTTCTTTGCTCATCATGTATTGGATGCAGGGGCGGATCCAAGGGGGGGGGGGGGCGACCGTCCCCCCCCTATGGCCAGGTTACCATTCTATTTTTCCCCGTTTTTTTATTTTTAAATAGCTTCTACATTAATTTGTATTGGGGCCAGTGAAAGAGAAATTCAAGTTTTTACCCCAGACGAGAAATGAAAAAGGCGATAGAGCAGGGAGTGCTGGAAGGCGGGGGGGGGGGGGGGGGGGGGGGGGGGGGGGGGGTANGGGGGGGGGGGGTGGGGGGGGGGGGGGGGGGGGGGGGGGGGGGGGGGGTAGGAAGTAGGGAACCGCCCCCTTATGAAAAATTTCCTGATCATCATTATAGATCATTATAATATTATAAATTAATAATCATAATAATCTCTTGAATTCCTTGCCCGAAACTTGAACCTGGAACTCCAAATCAATAAAGAGAACACTGTCTCTCTAGCATTACTGCTGGAGGAAGAGGAGTAACATGGCGGATACCATGGAAGCAACGAAGAGGCTGACGGCTAAGAAACAGACCCTCGACGATGCCTATGCGGCTCCTGCAAACTTCCTCGAGATCGATGTTCTTAACCCTATCACACATGGCGTTGGCAAGAAGCGATACACCGACTATGAAGTGCGCATGAAGGTGGGTTTGCAGTTGCTAGAAGGGTAACAGCACAAGACCACCTTGATCATTCTCTGTGATGGGTGTATAATGTGTGTAACTTCTTATCTTTGACGTTGTCCGCGGCCTACCGATGAGAGGGTCTAGCTGTTTGTATAGTACGGCAGAATATAATAGTCGCAGAAATGCCAGAATGTCTGGAAGAACATCAATCTCACAAAGGAATACTTGGTTTTACCTAGGCAATTCAGTCTCGTATCATTTTCATGATAAGTTTTTCAGGTAAGGTCTTGAGAACATTTAAAATCTGGATTGTATATGTATCAAGATGACAAGATACTACAAAAAATGCAAATGCGTGCAAATGCATTTGTAAGGATCACTTTCAGTCCTACCATGTGAAGGTGAGAGGGTCTTATTTTCTGGAATAAATGTGTAATGAGACTATAGGTAGATAATTACTTATCAGTCATCAGATAAATTTTCTTTCCCTTAGAATAAAATTATTTAATACATCTCACATATTACAGAATTCACCCCTAGATTGTCAAAATGCCATATTGGAATTGAATCTGGTGCAATCCCTTTTAATGAAAGGGCTAGGAACAATTTTAGCCATGTACATGTACAAAAAACCAGGCTGGGGTGCACGTCACCAATGTCACCAACACTGTAGTTACCATAACATCACATAATTGGCTATTTTTTATCTGTATTATGTCACTGGAACTCCATTCAAATTGTATGCTAAAGCACTTTGGGTTGCCCATGCCTAATGTGTAATATGGCAGTATCACCTTGTGTATTTGTATGCAGAGCAGGTGCTTTTTTTTTATTGCCAAGGAGTGGCAACCTCTGAGCGGCCCTTCATGCTCACTACTTTGTTCCTTATACTATATGCAAGTGACAATTGAGGCCAGGGAGTCATTCATTCTCTTGTGTTATACCTAGCAGCAATTTTACCACTATCAGGCCAACATGGATATTGACCTATGTTGACTAGGATTGGCTTGTGTAGGTCTTGGAGTACTGTATCATTTATTTTGCACGGCATCCCCTCAGCACATGAAATCTCAGGAAGTTTTGTGTGGGGCTTTGTGTGGGCCTTGGCATACTTTAACCACTTTCCAATTCCTGACTGCATAGAGCTCTTTGAGTAGATGTAAATATATGAGCAACATTTAGGAGTGTTCTATACTGTATTGATTTGTTTCCACCTCCTTCCTGTCATGCAGACAAATCTGCCTGTCTTCAAGCTGAAGGAATCCAGTGCCAGACGGAGGTATAGTGATTTTGAGTGGCTACGAAATGAATTGGAGAGAGATAGTAAGGTGAGTGTCTGCCATCTGCTGGGAGGTTCCACTCTTATTATATCCTGTTGCATCCTTAACACCTTTTCTATTTTTCAAATGTAATTTGTACAATTGGATCCTTTAAGAGTTTCGTAGATTACAGATAATGTAGATCTGGATGGCATCAAGTTGTCAATCAATGGAAGAATCTCAGTCCCTTCTGTGAAATGAATGAAAGGGTCCAGGTCAGGTTCCCAGAGAACTAGACCTTTCGCACAAATATGTTCAAGATCTGTTTCACAGTTGACATCAAGATCTGTGTACCACTTATTTTTTTGCAAATTTGAATACGTCAACATGGTGCTTGTGCGAGATTTCTTGAATGGCAGTTGTGGGGTTTCAACAAATGTTTGGCTGAAATTCATCCTTAAGGAATCAGATTTAGCATGCATTCATATCCATAAATCATTGTGAAATAATTTGTAACATGCCCAAAACCTGTATAGGTGCTTTTGTGAAATGGAACCTGAGAGAGTATTAGAGTGTCTATTCTCAATCGACAAACTTTATTTGGAAAATTTTCCTAAATATGCATTGTCTTATTGGAAAGATAATGTCCACAGAATGTTGTATCATCTTGAGAAAGTCAGATAGTTATTTTGAGGTAGCACAAGTATTTAATGGAATCATCCTCTAAATGATTTGCTGTTGAAGCATTTATAACATAGGTGATGCCTGCAGTATGTCTCTCTGTATTTTGCCATCCTTTAGTCAATGGTTATGACTCCATGTTGTGAAGAATACATCAAAACAAATTTATCACGCATGTTTTTAGGGACAGAGCAATCCATGCAAATGATGCATTGCTTTCAATTATCTTTTTCTCTCCATATTATGAATAAATTCTGTGATATGCATTTTTGCAATGAGTCTTAGAATCTGAAAATATCTGATTTGAATGAATGAGATTCAAAATAGGCTTGATTTGCCTGCAGATTGTAGTACCTCCACTACCTGGGAAGGCTTGGAAGCGACAGCTCCCATTCCGAGGTGATGAGGGAATCTTTGAAGAAGAATTCATTGAGGAGAGACGTAAGGGACTTGAGAACTTCATCAACAAGTAAGGCTACTTGTTTCCTGATTTGTTCTCGTCTTACATCTTTCCTAGTAGGCTTAAAGTCTTTCAAGCAAGATGCAATTTTTATTCAGTGGTATACCTTATCAAACTTTCTATGGCTTTCTTCTAGTGCTTGACATCTGGTACTTATTGCTTTTCCTCAATCATTGTAGAAATTCATATCTGGATTGGTTTATTTCTCTCCAATATTCTTTCAATTGGCCATCTTGAGCTTATTCAAGTCATGGAAATGGATGATGGTTCTTCATAGGCTTGCTAAAAGCTTTAGCAAGAAATGGCAAGACCATGGAATCAATTTTGGTGGAAGATATGTTTGATGTGTCCTGGATAATATGCAACCACTACACAAAGCATATCCTCCACTTGAGGACTGCCGTGGATTTCTGTTTATATTCACAATCTGACTTCATTTGAATAATTGTTCATAGCCTAGCCTCAGAGCATATAGAGTATATGTAGGGTTTTTAGGCTTTTCCCAATATTAAAATGAAGATAATGAGAAGTTTCATAATGATCCCCAAAGTTTTTGTTTCATAATTACCTTGAATATTCCTATTTGAATGAAATTTTGCAAGTCTCTTTGGAACACACCAGCTTTGCATAAACAAGTTTCATGAAAGGAGCTAGAGTGAGAGCAGTAATGTATTGACTAAAACATGGATTCTCTTTTTTGCCATACACTATAGATGTATACTTAGTTAATAGTGCACCTTGTGCTACTTGCTATCATCATATGCCTGTAAATGTAAGCATTCCATTGATGATCTATCTGATTGGAAAGAAAGTTCTCGGAATTTCTTGAATATCCAGTACAATTTTTTTCCAGAGCATGCTAGAATGTTCTGCGTGTGTTTATAAGTAGGTCGTGTCCTTCGGCATACAACCGTATATTATTACAACCCTGGTACTCTCCAGCCATGAACCAGCCCTACCCTCTTACTAAGGAGCAAGTTCGCCTGCTTCTTCTTTATGACTTCCGAATCAAGAAGACAGCCAATTCCATCGCTGACATCAATACCGCGTTTGGCCCGGACACTGTGTCCAAGAGCACTGCCTATGATTGGTACAGTCGCTTCCAGAAAGGAAATGAAAGCCTGGAAGACCAGCCACGCACCGGTCGTCCTTCGGAGTTTGATAACTCTGCCTTGCAGGAGGCACTGGAGGCCAACAACCGGCAAACATCGCGAGAGCTTGCGGACTTGCTGGGTGTCTCCCATACAACTATCCTTCATCATCTGGCTGAGCTTGGCAAGAAGGCAAAGTTGGGGTGCTGGGTACCCCACAAGCTGGATGATCGGGACCGCCAGCGACGAGTAGACATGGCCATCTCCCTTCTGTCACGTTCGCGCCGAACGGATTGGCTAGACTCAGTGGTGACAGGCGACGAAAAGTGGACCTTCTATGCCAACATTCGACGAAAACGTCAGTGGGTGGACGCCGGAGCATCGGCCGAAAGAGAACCCCGTCAGGAGTTGCACCCCAAAAAGATTATGCTCTCGGTCTTCTGGGATTCGAAAGGCATCATCATGTTTGAGCTGTTGCCGCAAAACACCACCATCACTGCTGCCTACTACTGCCAGCAACTCGATCGGCTGCAGCAGAAACTGGCTGAAACACGCCCAGAAAGACAGAGAACCATCCTCCTCCACGACGATGCCCGGCCGCACACCGCTAGACAGACTCATCTAAAGTTACTGGACCTGTGCTGGGAGGTGCTGCCGCATCCGCCCTACAGCCCCGACCTTGCCCCGTCCGATTATCACCTTTTCGTTGCCCTGGACCGTCACATGGGTGGAAAGCAGTACGCCAACCAAGACGACCTGAAAACCGATTTGGCCAACTTTTTCGTAGCGCAGCCGCCAGAGTTCTATTGGAATGGCATCCATAGTTTGCATAAACGTTGGCGTGAAGTGATAGAGGCCAATGGTGATTACATTCATGATTGAGATGATTTTGCTTTTAAATAAACTGGGTTGTAATAATTGTTCATGAAATTCCGAGAACTTTCTTTCCAATCTGATATTTTCTGCCTCTGTGCACCATTTGATATTGTGAGGATGACTCCTTCATGGAATTGAAATTTCAGTCCCAGGTAGTGCACTTTGAAATGGGGGATGTTTACCTATTGATATGCTGACTTATTTATCCCATCACTTCGGCCCCCATTCCATGATCATTTTCTCCATTTCCATGAGGCAGTGTGAAGCCAAATTTTAATCTCGCCAAGAATTCATAGGATAATTAAGAGCTTGTATAGAATTAATGAGCATTATAGTATCATTTTCTATGTATATTTATGCTGTTTCAGGATTGCAGGACATCCTCTGGCACAGAATGAAAGATGCCTTCACATGTTCCTTCAGGAGCCTGTCATTGATCGCAACTATGTCCCTGGAAAAATTAGGAACACTTGAAATCCAGCATCCTGGGCCGGAACCCTGTTCCCCATGGAATGAATGCTCAATGGGGGATCAATATTTCCATTGTGATAATTTATTCATTCTCTCTCTCTTTCTCTGGTGTTACACACACATACACACACACAGACACACACACACACAATTTCTCTCTTGCTTGTTCTCTCGCTCACTTAATGGAGATCAAATGTGGACAGTTGTTCATGACCCAGGAGGACTTGTGATTCCCGGGCTGCCCATTCCGCCTCTGCTTTTTCTTTTGATCTGTTCTTCCCAGACTTGATATGGTCTGCTATTTCATGAGAGGACTGAATGATTGTTATGAGCGCCAAGTTGCCCATCTTGTGCATTATAGTCCAGATCTGTATTTTATGATCCTCTGAATTGTCCATTCAATAGTGATGTTTGAAAGTTATCATGCAGTTATGTGGTATGTATGTAGCTATGTAACTGTTCTCATGCCCCAGTTTCTGTCTTGTTCAGGCCCTATAGCTTGAACCAACTATGAATTCATATGAAATACAGTATGGCATTCATCCTGAAGCATTTTGATTAACTGATTTGCACCCAAGAGTATGTATGCATGTATATACAGGGTGGGCAAAAAAAAAAAAAGCACTGATTTTTCTTAGCTTGTATTTCAGGAAAGGTGCAACACTCCAGTGCACTCATAAGAAAGGGCATTTCTTTAGCCATAAAACAATACCCTATTTCTTGACAAAAGATAACAGGAAAGCTTTGAACGGTTGCTTTTCCAAACCCCTTGTGAAAAGTGAGCTGCTGCAGCTGCAGTGGTGGCATGACCTCGGATGGTGCACTTTGTGTTTCCGCTTACAGTCATGCATTCTCAGTGTCAGGTGGGCAGCACGGCTCGGCAGCTTGTCCGTTTCATGCTAAAGTGTTGTGCAGTGTATTGCTCCTCTTGGTGCATGGTTTTGAAGCAGCTTTCGTTTGCTCTGGAACTTTGAAGCTTCCCAATGGTTTTGAGTGAATCAACCAAAGCTTTGCATGAGGAGAAGCAATACTCAAACAAATAATGAATGAGTTTCCTAATTGTGGATGGCAGCATCATTTTTTCAAACTTTTAAATGGCGATTATACAGAAATAATATAAAAAATTTGAAATAAAAGTTGCTTCATTTTAAAGCCAATTAAATGCTCTTTCCAATGAGTCCTGCTTCATTCCTCTATCTCTTACCAGTCCTGAGACATAAGGTGCAAAAAATCGGTGCCATTTTTTTCGGCCCACCCTGTACCATGAAGATGCATCATCCATTTCCTATGCAAGAATATGTGCTGAGAATCCAGATCCCTCAATGGACTCTACCTTGGGTTTCCTGCCTGAATTTTTGCCATCTGCTATTGAATGTAATACAAGGGCCCAGCACTTCACTGAGGATGAATTTATTACAGCATTTGTGTGCGATGTCCTCTTGGTTAAGAGTCATTATTCCTGCTGCAACATGGCAGATGGATTGATAAATGCAAGTACTGTGTTTTATGAAGCCTGAGATTATTATATTGAATGAAATTGCCAAGGTAGAATATTAGTATTTGTTATTACTAGAGCTGCAGGTATTGCTGAAGTCTTTATTGATATGCATCTCTGTTTATGTGCTGGTGCTTGCATTTGCAGTGTAATGCATGAGCAGCGGTGTAGTGATGGGGAGGGGGGCACATGATCCCCCCCCCCAATTTTCAAAAAGAAGAAACAACAAAAAAAAGGGAAAGACCCATGAAATGCATAACAGTATTCCAGAGTCCTGTGGCCCCCCCCCCCCCACTGTTTCCATCCTTGCTATGCTTATGCAAGTGAGCACATATACAAAGACCGATAAAAAAGTTCCAGGATTGGTTTTTGCATGTGAAAATTAAGTTTCAGTATGCTCCCCTTCAAAATAGCTCCCTCAGCTTGCGAGACACTTCTCCCCTTGTTTGTAAAGAGCATGGAACACAGGCTGTAAGACATTCTTGGCAACCACCTTCAATGTGCTGGTTACAGCTGATTGCCTGCGTCGACAAAACCGAGAACCATAACATTTCCAAACAATCATGGGGTGAAATTGCTCCCACATCATCCCAATTCACCAGACCTTGTGGCTTGTGACTTCACACTGCTTCCCAGATGAAGTTCCATCTGAAAGACTGCAGCTTCATCGGTGCAGGTGCTCTCCAATCAGCTATGACCAAGGCGTTGAAGGTGGTCACCAAGAATGGCTTGCAGCCAGTCTTCCATGCTCTTTACAAACGTTGGGAGAAGTGTATTGCAAGATAAGGGAGCTATTTAGAAGGGGAGCATACTGAAATCTAACTTGTGTGCATAGTTTTCATGCATGAATGCCGATCTTGGAACTTTTTGATGGGTTCTTGTATATATATGCAATTGTCAAGGATGGAAAAGTCACAAGATATATTCTACATAATCATGACATTGGCCAGATGAGCTGGATGCGATTTTGTTTGACCAATTGCTATTCACTGTATCTGCCAGTCATTTCTTACTTTATGGGGGTAAAGGGGTCAGGCTTGGTTTAATAAGTTTTATTTGTGGGAATTGAGCTATTTTACTTCATAGGCACAGGATGGAGAGAACCTGAAATCACACCATTTGTTGATACCTGGTTGTCATGGTAACCAGATAACCTCACTAAATATGCAAAAACCTATTGAATGCTACAGCAGCTTTATTTTTCAACCAAATCGAGTCCAGTTTGATGCATTTTGTAGAGAATAGCCCGTTCTATGCAACTAACCAGAGATATCCACCACTTTTTGCTATATACTGTAATTACGTGCGTGAGTTGTGAATAACTATTTCGAGAATTCGGGTTTTTTAATTTTTAATTTTATCCAGAAAATTATAGATATACACACTTACTTCGATATTAATGATTCATTGCACAGTTCAGTCAACAGCATCCTGCCTTAATTTCATCAATACATCAGACAATTAGAAAATTATGGTTAGAAGAATGCAATTTTCACAAAAACCATCAATCGAGGAAAATGAAGTAAATGAAATGAATGAATAAGTATCTTTTTCGTGCTCTTCCTTGTTTTTTTTTCTGAACTGACTTTTGCTCTGCCTGATCAGTACTTCGTGAAGAATTTGCTTAAATTTCCGAGAATTTCATTTTTTTCTTCAAAATTTTGGTTTTCCCCTTTACCCCCTTAAAATTTTAGACAAACAGGAAAAGGTTTGAGAAAAGGTTTCAAGCGATACTAAAGCCAAATGTCATGATGCACCTTGTCCGTTTATGGAATATGTAGTGGCGGTCCCCTGGACTGCTTTCATTATTGATAATTTCGGACTACCTGTTCCAAAAGATGAACTAAATTTCATTTCTTAGGGATTATGTATTCTCATCAAGCTGGACAGGTGTCAAATATAATGCAGAGTCACACTTCTCATTCCAAGGCTTTATTTTAGAGGGAAACATTAAGAGAATTTCCAACATCCCAACAGGATTCACATTCAAATAATTTCTATGAACAAGAACGATAATTACCCTGCCGGTTACAATGACACGACAAGCAGAGGTCCAATCAGGCAAGTCGTAACAGAAAAAGAAGACGGAAGAACCACCATTAACGTGATTGGTAAATATGGGCATCTTTGAGTCACAGTGATGAGACCTGAAAGCAAATGGGGTCTCCACGTCCGACATCCACAAATGTAGACACAGGAGAATGAAATATGAGACAAATATAAATTTATTGGAGAAACTTGAGAGATGAGAAAAGTTTCTATTTCATCTTGTTAATGAGCACTTCTGCAGGTAAAAATTCAGGACCACTTCCTAAAGTTGTATCGAAAGAAAAAGTACCACACTTGATTCGACTTTCCCTATATAATCAATGGGTATCACAAGGGATGAAATACGCATAACCTAACATTTGACTGAGGTGCCAGAATCCCAAATGCTGCCACCCTACGTACTCATCAGGACTGGTACAAATATAGAATCAATTACTGTAGAAACCTCAGCTGTTCGAGGTGAAGCGAGGTTACACTCACCGATGAACTAGTGAGAGAGGGATTGCGAATAAAAGGGAAAAACCCTACGAATTACGACTTTGGTGTCAATCCATGTCGAAAATTTCATTAAAATAAGATAAGGATTTATTTCAAAAGATAGAAACTACTGATGAGAATTTTCAAGACCTATCCCAGCCCCTGAATGTCTGTACAATCTTTCACAAATGATTCGTGACTAATTTCACTCTCATCGCGGCACTTGAGAAATCCCAACAATATAAATTTTGCTTCATCTACTCGGCCTACAATTCACTAATGGATAGAATAAAATTTATATTAGATCTTTGAGGAACAAGAAAGACAAGTATCACAAGCCTCACCCGGAAGACGATAAGACAAGAGGACGCAATGAGGAATGGGGAGGCATATTTCTTATTAAGCAAAAATAAATCAATTAATAAATAAAATCCCGCTGAAGCAGAGAATTAGAGTTCTATCTCATGCTGCTCATTCGATATCGTTGGTAATGTTGACTCTTGAATCGGAGGGATGGAGACGCTGCCAATACTTCTAAAGGAGAATGTGGTCCACGTAAGTTCCTGTTTCTGCAGGAGAGGCAAAAGCTTCACGAGATGACTCTTCATGTCTGCATTCACTACTCATTCAGGCAGCGTGGAATATTCGAGCGCCTCACCTTTTACATGAATTCTCACAATAATTCTTTTTCACTTCCATTCACAGCACTCTCATTATTTGCTCATCATCATGGTAACAAATTCTATGGGAAAAGGAAAGCATGCCAATAAATCTTAATTTCAATCCTTACTTGCAGATTGTGCAAATATTTGCAGAAAACCACACCCACCCGAATATTTGATATGACCATCTCCATCGAAGCCAGCTTCTCTCATCATCTCATCGATTTCTTCATTGGTGAGCTTCTCGCCCACGTTGGTCAAGATGTGCCTCAATTCAGCCGTAGAGATGAAACCATTGCCATCTTTGTCCAACACACGAAAGGCTTCTCGGATTTCCTCCTCGCTTGGCTTATCCGACTCTTTCATCTTCTTTGCTATCTTGATGAGGAATTCTGGGAAGTCTATCATACCATTACCTGACAAGAGAAATACATTTGATGAAAGATCAAAGTCACATTTTTGAAATTTTTGAGATAGTGCTGCCACCTATATTTGTTGTACAAGCTTTCATTTCTGATATTCCTAAAATTTGCAAAATGATCAATGATACTATAATTTTGTATCTTGAATCAATTAGGAGCCATATGGTTTGGAAACTTCATTTTTGTTTTTCTCAATACAACTTAAATGTGACTTTGATCGTTCTTCCAGTGGGCTCTTCATATATTAACTCAAAATTTGTATTTTTGCAGCTTTCTTCATCCGTCCGTACTAGTCTTTGCGACACGATTGCAGCCTTCCATAACTGCAACCGCACATGGAGGAGAGAGTTTAAAAGGGACGGATAAGGATATTTTTAAGTGTTCAAATTTTTGCAATGAGATCACTTTTAAGTAAAGTAGCTTCCTGCTCTAATCCCAATCGCACAGGAAAAGCACACCAGCATTAACCTACTAAAAGCTAGGGAGGCTAATACCGTCAGAATTGTGTCGACGTGTTCACACATCAGAAAATAGGCTCTCACACACACCATGCACATCGAGTTCGTTGATCATGTCTTTAAGTTCAGCTTCTGTTGGATACTGTCCCAGTGACCTCATGACGGTTCCCAATTCTTTGGTCGCGATCTTGCCATCTCCGTCTTTGTCGAAAAGGGAGAAGGCTTCCTTGAACTCCGCAAGTTGCTCCTCGGAGAATTGGTCGGCCTGGATGTGATGAGCATGGGGAAAATATGTAACTTTCAGAAAAAAAAGTATTGCTTATTGAAGACATACATATGCGTGGTAGGAGGGCAAAGAGGCAAAGAGAAGAAAAAACGGGAATGAGATCCTTCGAACTGTGCTCCCGATGGGAAATGTGTTTGGCCAGAAGCAGTGTTAAATCGCATGACGACCATCTCTCACTAAAATTTTTGCATGTACGACGTACGACTACCCCAGCGAAGCTTTCCCTTACATTTTAGGAGTGCTTCTCGGAAAGACGTGCACAATCCAAGCTCCCGACGTAGTTGCAGCTTTGCGTCGGTGGAATGGCACATCGATTAAAGTGTCACCTAGTCAATGACATGAAAACGAGGATGGTTCATCGAGCCAAGACTTGGAGGAAATAATGGAGTGTTTGTTGGAGTCCGCAATTGATGTAACTTGGGAAGCCAAACAGGACTTGGACACTTCGATGGCAGGAGTTTGAAAAGAAGTCATGGTGAAACGTGAAGTTGGAAGGGTGGGTTCTCTTTTAAAAGACCTGTCTCATAGGGATGCATCACGTTTCTTTTCTCCATGCTCTTCGTGTCTATTTATTGGGGACTCCGCCTCTCACAAATCAATATATGATAGACACCATAAAGATGGTGCTTCAAGAGCCCGTTTCCTTGAGCTGCTAGATAAAACTTGCATTTTCTGCTAAACTTATGTGCAAACAAAGAGCGGACATGGTGGGAAGCTGTGCGCAGATGGATTCTTTTCGGAAGCCTCTCAGGCTTTGGCGTTCACCCGTGAAACTGGGATACAGATTGTGAATGGTCTGTCGGACTGTCGTCGTGTGGAGCTGGAGGACACTAGAGAAGGGAGAAATCTCACGATGGTAGCGGGAATCAGTCCACGAGAGGAACATTTGCATCATGCGCTTTCAGAAGGGCGTTTGAGGCAGGAATTTTACTAAGATTACAGTTGAATTTCCTACCTTCCTAATAGGGTAGGATTTTTCAGACGCGTTTGTCAAGCAAGGGTGCACCATAATGTGATAAATAATCGTACATGTTGTCAACAGAGCGGTCCTCAGGCTAGGGAGTTCCTACAATAAACACTATATTCAGCCAATGGCAATCCCAACATGCACACGCACACCCTTTCGATGCGACGAATCGAAACAAATCTCATTAGCTTAAATCGAGTTAGTTGTGCCCTAAGAGTGCTTCTCTGTACTACCAGTGACAGGAGTTCAGTATGAGAGTCCTAGAAGGCACTCCCGCATGGCAAATTAGCTACGGCGTTCAAATTGGTTCAAGAGTTCTTGGTCATGTTTTAAAGTACTTTTATCAATTGTCTACTTCTTGCAGGGACCATAAGTGTAGATGAAATAGCTTCGAGAAAGGCTTCGCATCGCATTCGGTAGCAGAAAGCGCTTCTGGACCATGCTTTTTCTCCAGTTTGTTTCATACTTTCCTTGGAGACGTTGAACGAGACAGGAGGGCTGGTGCCCTCCAGGCACGCTGGTGTTCATACGTCTGTGGGGAGGGGAACAGGGTCTGGTGCAGGAAACTAGATGGCCCTGGAACATGGGAGAACCGTATACATTGTCGTTGGATTGAAATCTTAAGAGCGAGGCTATCGATTGCAGGTAGTGACATCTATCACTTGATGAAGCCGAGCCTCTAAGTTTTCCCCCATTTTTTTTCATTCTCCTATATAGAGGAGAGGGCTACGAATTTAATCCGAAAATAGTGTAGGACCATGGACATGCAGTTCCTGTGCGGGCGCTAGAGAATCCTTTTTCACATCTAAGCTCCTGAACCGTAAAATAACTGCTTCGTGCACACATGTGCACGAAGGACCTTCCTACCAAAGGTGGTAGGAAGGTCCTAGATGAGGGAAGAAACGTCTGACTCAAACTTATTTTTGCAAATGGTGGGTTAACCTCCTTCCTCCTCGTTTGGCGTCCATGTTCCTTTCACTTACCATCTCCAGATGGAACGTGTACGAATATCCAGGTGTGGAAGCAGGTAGAGGGTCCAGGAACGAGAACGACCACCACCAGAAGGATGATGGAAAGTGATCGGGACTGGAAAAATGCCTGGCACTTGAGGTTTCGGTCACTTTTCACCACTTTTCAGATAATTCACAGGACGACCTGCTTTAGGACGCGAATCGTGGAAGGTCTTTATCAACCGACTCGAGTTGTTCCGGGGTTGCTTCACACTCTAACCTAAAGGCCTATTCGTTAAACGAGAGAATCATGGAAACGGGGCGCAGAACCAACCAGTCAGGACATAGAGGGGGAAAGCGAAAGACTGGAGCATTTTCCAAAGTTTATCTCTTTGGGGAACAGACGTCTGTTCGGCTCTCATTGGCTTCCTGAATACCCGCAAGGCGACGGCGTCTGAAACCCGTTCCTAACGCATTGCAGCTTTCTCCCTTCCCCTATCTCTCTACCTCTTTTTTCATTCTCCACTAAAAACGAAAAAAAATAATAATAAATAAAAAAAGCTAGGCAGAGTAGCGAGCCTCATGAGTGCACTTGATGATATAAAAGAGGCGACTTCGAATTTCCTCTTGGTTCGTTTCTGCTTCCTCTGTTTCGTCAGACTTATTCTCTGCTTTTTTTTTCTTCAATGACGCTTAACGACACCACGTAAGTCCAGAACTGAAATCTAGCATGGTGTACAAAACAAGGTGTGTAGCAAAGCATTTATCTATCGAACGATGTATTCCGTCTTTTCCCAAGTGCAGCTCTCTTAACGTCTTATTAATCATTTGTCAACCACGGAGTATAAGTTAATTTAATGACACTGAAAAGTACTGCAACGATCAGGTCGTTAACACATTGGCGCCATTTTAAATCAATAATTGTGCATATAGTTAGCTTATACCTTAAGGTGATCTAGATGTAACAACGAATCAGTGAAGCATGCAGCTATTTTTTAGACCAAGTTTTCGTTCCTATGATCCGCGGTCGCAAAGGAAAAAGATCACTTAACATACCAGGCATTTGTACACCCTTTACTTAAGCAGATAATTCGTCTTCGGAGGCGGTTATTCTACGCGGAAGTCTTGCTAGCTTCTTGGCTTTTGGGGGACGGGATGCCACGCGATTCCTACTATGTTTTGTACCGAAGTATTTTAGACGTCTGAAGTTCAATTGCAGGTAAAGTGGAAGGTGAAAGGAAGCACTTTTTCATATATTAATATTTCATATTTCACGATATTTTCATATCGTGAAATTCACGATAAGAGTGGGACGATGCGAAGGATCTAACACGCTCCAACTATCTCCTCATTTATTCATGATGAACAGGTCGAAACAACGATGCACAGCGCCTCCAGAAGTAAAAAGACCACGTCATCTGCACATCATCGACGGCATTTTCAGGGCTGCGGGATGCAACACCGATCGCAGTCCCGAGTGACGACCACCTTCCCAGGACAATTGATCAGTTGGAATTGCTGGCAGGAGCCCTTCTGATTGGTATCCGTAATGCACGGCTTCCCCTTCCCCGACTCGCCGCCTTGGCCTTGTCCGCTTGCTTCTACGAGAATATGCCGGCACACTTTCAATGCGGTGCGTTGCATAAAATGAGAAAAGGAACAGCTCAATCGAAGTGGAATGCCGCAGAGGCAAACGTCATCGGTGACTGTCGAGGGGTGAGGAGTGATTAGTCTTTGGGACGACTTTTTAAAAATTAGAAGCCGAATGACTCACCAAATATTATTGCCGAAAGGAGCAAAACCAGGAGAGAAAATCTCGAGGGAAACATTGTGTGCGGAGCGATTCGATGTCACTGACTGTTGTGGGAGAACTCCGGACGATTCCTGGATGTGTTAGATTCTTCGAAACGCATCTTCGATGCAGGAAACATTCATTTTTGCCAAGGTCAAGGGGATATGATTATGGGCATGACGACATGGGGTGAGATGGAATCTCTCGCTACCATTGGCCTGTGGGGTCTCAAGCATTTCCAGCAGTGGCGACTCGTGATTTTTAGTGCTAGTGGTTCGTCTATGGAGAGGGGGTAGGCAGGGGAGGGCACTGCCTACCCCCTCCATACCTCCTACCTCCTCCATAGACGAAACACTAGCGCTAAATATCACGAGTCGCCACTGATTTCCAGTGCCGTTTCATCATCATTCGACACTTAGTAAACTGTAAAATTTATCCGGAAATTTTCAGATAAAGCCTGTTAAAAATCACAAAAATTTTGGGTGATTCCCTTTCCTTATAACATTAACCCTTATCCGGGCAACGGGGGTCCATTGGACTCCCCAGGGTATATCTCATTGCATTATTCTCTGGGAAAATTTGCAAAATTTTCTGCAAATTTAATTTGTCTTTTATAGACAGTTAACCATTTATCCAAAAACGAGTTTTTAAAGTTTTGATTTGCCTTTAAGAAAAAAAAATTCCTAAAATGTTTGCCCTTCCCCGCTTTTGTCTCAAAATACCTTGCCCGGATAAAGTTTAAACTGTATTATACGGCCAAAGACACTAACTGACAGTCCTTGAGATTTTACTGGAAAATCGGTGCAAAATGTGATGAAAATGTCGGCAGATGAGAATTGCAGAAAATCCCTCGATTATATCTGGGATAGTTGTATTACAAAATGGACTCCTTCGGTAATGGAAAATTTTAAGTTCCAGTATTTATTCATTTATTATTTTTTGCAGAAAAAGCTGGTGTAACTCGTTTCAGACGCTCTCTGAACTGCCGTAAACTCCGAAATTTCTCTGTAAGAGAAGAAACCTCACTTGTTCTGTAGGACTAAAGCCCTCGCACGAGAAACCCAGGAAAGCAAGCGCCACAGCAATTTCATAGATTCCCTTCCCTTCGGGGAAGTTCCTTGTTCCATCACATCGCGAAATTCTTCACGAGAGAAACGAATCTCAAGTCATCTTAACGGTATCACACGTACGTGTTCAGTGCTTCTCCTCATCGGTGCATATTGTACATGGTATGTTAAGAAAAGACCCTCGACTCCTCTTCTTCCACTCATGGCTCGGGCTCCTGTCCATTTTAGATAAAAGGAAAATTCGTTATAGGGAATTCCTTACGTTTCACTGGGAAAAAAGGCCTCTTAAACAAACTGTAATTTATATCACAAAAAGGAAGCAGAAAAAAATTGCTATTGTCAAAGCACGTGTCATATTGCAAAAATAACGCTTCCAAGATGTGTATTTGTACCT